TGGCATTTATCTCGGCAATGATGTTGTTTTTGAGTTCTTGGAGGGTGGCTGGTTTGTTGACGTAGACTTTGTTTTTCAAATATCCCCATAAAAAGAAGTCCAAAGGAGTCAAATCGCACGATCTTGGTGGTCATGGCACATTTCCTCTGCGCGAAATCACGCGATCACCGAAGAAGGACTGCAATCGATGGATATTGACGTTGGTTGTGTGGCATGTTGCACCGTCTTGTTAGAAATAAACATCGTCCATATCCATTCCTTCAAGTTGCGGCAAAAAATAGTCCTCTATCATCACGTGATATCGCTCAAAATTGACGGTAACGGCGTCCCCGGCCGCATTTTCGGAAAAGTAAGGTCCGATGATGATTTTTGACCACAATGCACACCACACAGTCACTTTTTGAGGATGCATCGGCTGCTCTTGATACTCACGGGGATTTTCGTTCGCCCAGATGCGGCAGTTTTGCTTGTTTACCGTCCCATTCAAAGTGAAATGCGCTTCATCGCTGAACATGATTTTTGATGAAAAATTGGCAACAATTTGGCGGTGTTCAAGGAGCCAATCTGAGAAGGTTCGGCGCGAAAAATGGTCGGGCCGACGCAGCTGTTGCGTCAATTGGATCTTGTAGGCGTGTACATTCAAATCCTTGTGGAGAATGCGTAGCAAACGCGTTGTTGATTGTTCCGGATCGTCTCTCGCACTCTCCTTCACAACAGCAATATTTTCCGGTGTGCGAACGCTCCTTGGCCGGCCAGAGCCTGGCAGATTTGTCACAGAACCTGTTGCCTCGAATTTTCACACCAGACGACCGATGTTTGGTTTCGTTTGGGCGGTTGTTGCGACCGAAATGTTCACGAAGCGCGCGAAACGTGTTTTTTATTTTTGCACCATTTTTGTAGTGCTCTTGAATAACTTTAGTGCGGTCTTCAATCGAATACGACTCCATAGCGATCAATGGTAAACATTCAACTAACAAAATGACATGTCGGTGACAGAAAACAAAGATGGCGTCTATGTCAAATTGACGTTTACTTTCCTGCGTCCCTATTGGACAACCCATCATGTAAAACATAGTCCTGTTTCTTCCGCAATCAAAACTGCTTGAATTAAATTTGTATTGAAGTAGGATATAAGGTGAATATCTGAAACATAACATAAAACTGAGCCCCATTATTTCTGTTCTCCCTTATGCCTTATACATCATCGGATTTCCACTCGAGCCTCTACGCCGAGGCGGGCCGTCGTCGATTCTCTCCAAAATAATTGCTCCCATAACTTTCGTTAACAAATGAGTTACTACGGTTGGAAAAATCTGCTTTGAACTTTTTTCGCAATACCTTTGATAAATTGCCTCTCGGGGTTTCGTTCTAAGAGGATAGTTTTTTGCTATACTCCATTTAGACTGTCTGATTATACTGATGGAACAAAGTGAGTAAAGTATATGACGAATTATACAGGCAGACCACACCATAAGGATGAAAAAAACCGAAGAAAAAAATGAGGCAGTCTTACATCAAGAATGAAACGATAACATTCTCATGAAATTTTATTGACAATTAATAAAAAAATACACTCCTGTATACGTCTAGACCAGAATTCCCCAAACTTTTTTGTGTCGTAGACCCCTTGCCATGTTTTTCCGTATTGGGTAGACCCCCTACCTACCTGTTATTGATTTCCTGTAAATTTCTAACTGTAGTCAAGTTTAGTGTTAAAAACTTAAAGTAAAAACACATGTTAATTTATACATTTATTAATTGAATTTAAATTAAAACTACTCAAAATAAAATTTTGTATTTGTTATGTAAAATATACGTAACATTAAATAAACAGGTGTCTGAACAATAAGTGCCCGCATTGGGAACAAGTGCCCGCATTGAAAAAAAAATAAAAGGGATAAAATAAGAAAAAGTGAAAAATAATAAAAAACAAAGTTTTTTACTTAAAATAGTACAATAAGCGAGTTCGCTTAATAATTATAACATAAACGTATGTTCTACAATAATTTCACTGTTAGTTTGATTAAATTCCGCTTCTTATACGTTTAAGTTATCTAAAAATAGGCAAAAAACTAACGAATCTTAGTGTGTACCTATCCTTGAATTTTCAGAATAATTTTAAAAAAAATATTATCTATAAAGGGGGTTCTTTAAAAAAATCAATGCGGGCACTTATTCCCAATGCGGGCATTTATTGGTCAGACACCAATAATCATAAAATAAACTATAATTAAAATAATACAAGCAATAAGTCAATATTTTTAGTGAGAAGGATGAACCTGATGCTTTAATAATAAATTATCAACATTTGGCGTCAATTTTGTAAGGGTTAATCTTAAATCTCCTCGGCTAATGATGTCCAGTCTGTTTCTTTTTTTCGTTAGGAGATTGGTAACAGCGCTGAACCCCCTTTCCACTAGGTATGACGATGGAAAGGAAATTAAAAATTTTCTCGCTGTATTCCATAATACGGGATAGGTAACGGGTATGTTGTTTTGCAGCCAGAATTGCTGATATCCGTTTTTAAACTGAACCTTAAGTTCTTCGTTTGTACTTAGTTCAGTCAGTTCCTCTTGTATTATGACATTCGATTCTTCTATGTCACCATATGGATTAATTATCCACAGTGGTATTAAGATAGTCAAAATACCCTCAAACCTAGATTCAAAATCTGAATAGAGGGCATTTAAATGTTGAACGTAAGTTGAAACGTGGTCTTCCTGGCAGCTTGTCTCTGACAAATTGGGGAACTGAGAAAATTCGCCCCGTCCAATATTTTGCTTCATTAGTTTAACTCTGGCAAGAAACGCTGATAAGATGGACTTTGTTTTGATCAAATTTAAACCGTCGCCTTGTAATTGCAAATTAACCATATTAAATTTTGTAAACAAATCTGTTAAATAGGCGATGTCTGTTTTCCTCTTCATTAAATTTTCTTTTAAAATTTTATCTTTAGTATCCAGAAATTCTAAAATAGTCTCAAAAAGAGCAAAAAATTTTGTCAAACACAAGCCTTTCGACAGCCAGCGTACTTCAGTGTGAAGGAGTAATTGATGAAAGTGTTCGTCATTTTCTTCACACAACTGCACAAATAACCGCGTATTCAACGCGTTGCTTCGGATTCGGTTTACTGCATCAATGACTAAATGAAGTGATTCATGCAATCTAACACTCAAATTTTTAGCAACTAAATGTTGTCGATGGATGACGCAATGTATTGCTAACTCCCCTGACACATTTCGTTTTAAATAGCTTATAAATCCACGATAACGTCCAACCATGGCAGGTGCTCGATCTGTAGCTACTGATATTATATTTGATAAAGGAATTGCTTTTTCAATGAAGTAATCCTTCAAAACATGAAATATTGATTCACCTTTAGTGTCGGTTATCAAAGTTCTTGCGAAGAGCAGTTCTTCGTAGATTTCTTGATTCATAATAAAACGAACATTATGCCAATAATAATGCTGCATTATCAGGTAAAGTTGACTCGTCCAGTTGTATAGAGAAATGGGTCGTTTGCAAATAATTACATAAGAAGCTTTCAATATCAGTACTCGTTTCATCATTCGACATCCCTAGACTAATAAGACGATCTCGCTCTGGTAGCTCTAACATCGTCTTACTAATCACCTTCGGAAAATTCAGGAATTCCCGAGGTTCCCTAGCACCGCCCAAGCGATGGATTGAATCAAACCGCGGCATGTGGCGCATACCTCAGTTTACCTTGATGGGCGCACGTTGCGCCTTCACGCAGCTTGGATAACAGATGCATGTAAATCTGATCGTATATTACATCCAGACGGTGTATGTTATGTAGGAATCGGTTGGAAACGTTGGAAAGCTTATTTAAGTAATGACACAGCAATTTATTCAGTGTCCCGTATCGGTGTATGAAACGTTTTTGGGTCAAGGAGATGGATGTGTCCGGAACCTAACACCCCCGAGTTCAAACGGGCATTTCGAGCATTTTCTTGCAACAACCACTCACAAAAGTCTGTAGATAGCATCGCCTGGACTCTCTGGACGTGATAAGGGTACAGTTGGGCCTCATGTAATATGCGCCACGCTGTTGCATGTGACACTTCAGGGTCCTGTTGGGCTAACTGCCTTGTGCTTATTCCCGGATTTTCTTCGACAATATCCAAAATTTCGTCTTCGGCTTTTAAAACGCGTTGTGGGCGAACCCGACCCCCATCCACTCGACGTCTGGGGCGCAAATCGCCACTAGCACTTACACGTAAAACAATTGAACTAAGTGTTCCGTGATGAGGTATGTGCGTGTGTTCAGAAATCGGTGCGCAAACGAGAAGCCGCTCGCGAATTTGGCCCTGCTTCTCCGTACGCTAAAACAATGTCCACAAACTCCTCATTAGTGTACACATGTGCCATTTTTATTAGTAAATAACTAAAAACATAAACTCGCAAAATACTTTCCTATCTAACTTCACAAAAATCGACCGTTCTTCATTCAGATCACCCACGATACAGATTAAACCTTATTTACACGTTCTTATCAGTATGTAAAGACAAAAAATTCCTGGTATTTTGCTTTCGTCAGTTGATACAACATTTGTTACAATGCCTTAATGCGTGTTCTAATATCACGACGATGAACGCAAAATACAGATATTTATTTTTCAATTTATTATTGAAGCTCAGGTTTATAACTTACTTTCTGTAGGACTTTTATTACATATTTTTTTGAGAAATCAATTTCTTTCGTAAGAGTGCATGTGGTTGAAATTTGTCGGATAAGTTGTGAAACTGTATACTTTTAATAAATGTTTTAAGTTTACCGAATATCAAGAATGTATAACTTGAAATGATATCAACGGTCAGGAATCCAAAACTGCACGGGTTTTCCCAATCAGTACATTTTGCATGATTCCACTCATGTCTTTATCATAATCGAACATCTGTTCCGATGAATTTCTATGTCATTCTGTGTCCTTGTTTCAGTTCATGCAAGGATACTGATTGAAAATTATTTTTGTTGCAGAAAATCGTCATCAGATGCAGCGAAGAAACGTACACTTCGGACGACTCCCGACTGGGAGGAAACGGCAGTCAACGGAGACCACCTTTGGGTGCCAACTTCCGTATCCGGCGATTTTTGCTATGCGGGAGACTCCGATTGTCTGGTAAGTCGATACAATAACCCAAAACAGATCTTCATTGATACTGGCTGGACCTTAGATGGACTGGAATGAAGATGCTATTGACTTATTATTAGACTCTCTAGGACTAGATGTGGTAATAATTACTGTGGCCCAAAATTGTTGTAATGCACTTCCTCAATTTTGTAGGAATTACAACAACAGGATTTTCAAAAGGACTGTAAAAATGTACCCATTAAGTAATGCTTTTTATAATTTAGATGAGTTTTTAGAAAATTCATTTTGTTATTTCAGAGTGTTGTGTATTTATTGATTTTTGTCTGTCCATTGCTTATTCTTAGATCTGTAATTTTATCATTATTATAATTTAGGGAAAAATCACCCGACATGGCAACTCTGTCAAAGCAGCACTGTTACTCCACGCGTCAATTTTTGAGGTCGTTCTTACAGCACTGCCGTAGTTTCTGCTGCTTCATAGACTCCATGCTACTTGCCTTCATCTTTTGCTAAAATTTTCCAGCGGATATTCTCGTTTTGTCTCCGATCTAATGCAATACCTTGTAAGCCTCTGATGCAACAATGTACAGAATGTACAAAATTGTTTAAATGCCCTTCCTCAATTTTGTAGTAAATTCAACGACGGGACTTTCAAAAAGACTGTAAAAATGTACCCACTAAGTAAGGCCTTTTATAGTTTAGATGAGTTTTTAGAAAATTCGTTTTGTTATTTCAGTGTGTTGTGTATTTATTGATTTTTGTCTGTCCATTGCTGATTCTTAGATCTGTAATTTTATCTTTATTATAATTTAGGGAAAAATCACCGAACATGGCAACCCTGTCAAAGCACCACTGTTACTCCACGCGTCAAGTTTTGAGGTCGTTTTTACAGTGCTGCCGTAGTTTATGCTGCTTCATAGACTCATGCTACTTGTCTTCATCTTTTACAACAACTTTCCAGTAGAAATTCTCGTTTTGTCTCCGATCTGATGCAATACCTTGTAAGCCTCTGATGCAACAATGTACAGAATGTACAAAAATGTTTTAATGCCCTTCCTCAATTTTGTAGTAACTTAAACGACGAGACTTTCAAAAAGACTGTAAAAATGTACCCACTAAGTAATGCCTTTTATAGTTTAGATAAGTTTTTAGAAAATTCATTTTGTTATTTCAGAGTGTTGTGTATTTATTGATTTTTGTCTGTCCATTGCTTATTCTTAGATCTGTAATTTTATCTTTATTATAATTTAGGGAAAAATCACCGAACATGGCAACCCTGTCAAAGCAGCACTGTTACTCCTCGCGTCAAGTTTTGAAGTCGTTCTTACAGCGCTGCCGTAGTTTCTGCTACTCATAGACTCCATGCTACTTGTCTTCATCTTTTACAACAACTTTCCAGTAGAAATTCTCGTTTTGTCTCCGATCTGATGTAATACCTTGTAAGCCTCTGATGCAACAATGTACAGAATGTACAAAAATGTTTTAATGCCCTTCCTCAATTTTGTAGTAACTTAAACGACGAGACTTTCAAAAAGACTGTAAAAATGTACCCACTAAGTAAGACCTTTTATAGTTTAGATGAGTTTTCAGAAAATTCATTTTGTTATTTCAGTGTGTTGTGTATTTATTGATTTTTGTCTGTCCATTGCTGATTCTTAGATCTGTAATTTTATCATTATTATAATTTAGGGAAAAATCACCCAACATGGCAACCCTGTCAAAGCAGCACTGTTACTCCACGCGTCAAGTTTTGAGGTCGTTCTTACAGCACTGCCGTAGTTTCTGCTCCTTCATAGACTCCATGCTACTTGCCTTCATCTTTTGCTACAACTTTCCAGCAGAAATTCTCGTTTTGTCTCCGATCTGATGTAATACCTTGTAAGCCTCTGATGCAACAATGTACAGAATGTACAAAATTGTTTAAATGCCCTTCCTCAATTTTGTAGTAACTTCAACGACGGGACTTTCAAAAAGACTGTAAAAATGTACCCACTAAGTAAGGCCTTTTATAGTTTAGATGAGTTTTTAGAAAATTCATTTTGTTATTTCAGTGTGTTGTGTATTTATTGATTTTTGTCTGTCCATTGCTGATTCTTAGATTGTAATTTTATCTTTATTATAATTTAGGGAAAAATCACCGAACATGGCAACCCTGTCAAAGCACCACTGTTACTCCACACGTCAAGTTTTGAGGTCGTTTTTACAGTGCTGCCGTAGTTTATGCTGCTTCATAGACTCATGCTACTTGTCTTCATCTTTTACAACAACTTTCCAGAAGAAATTCTCGTTTTGTCTCCAATCTGATGCAATACCTTGTTAGCCTCTAATGCAACAATGAACAGAATGTACAAAAATGTTTTAATGCCCTTCCTCAATTTTGTAGTAACTTAAACGACGAGACTTTCAAAAAGACTGTAAAAATGTACCCACTAAGTAATGCTTTTTATAGTTTAGATAAGTTTTTAGAAAATTCATTTTGTTATTTCAGAGTGTTGTGTATTTATTGATTTTTGTCTGTCCATTGCTTATTCTTAGATCTGTAATTTTATCTTTATTATAATTTAGGGAAAAATCACCGAACATGGCAACCCTGTCAAAGCCCCACTGTTACTCCTCGCGTCAAGTATTGAGGTCGTTTTTACAGCACTGCGGTAGTTTCTGCTCCTTCATAGACTCCATGCTACTTGCCTTCATCTTTTGCTACAACTTTCCAGCAGAAATTCTCGTTTTGTCTCCGATCTGATGTAATACCTTGTAAGCCTCTGATGCAACAATGTACAGAATGTACAAAATTGTTTAAATGCCCTTCCTCAATTTTGTAGTAACTTCAACGACGGGACTTTCAAAAGGACTGTAAAAATGTACCCACTAAGTAATGCTTTTTATAATTTAGATGAGTTTTTAGAAAATTCATTTTGTTATTTCAGAGTGTTGTGTATTTATTGATTTTGTCTGTCCATTGCTTATTCTTAGATCTGTAATTTTATCTTTATTATAATTTAGGGAAAAATCACCCGACATGGCAACCCTGTCAAAGCACCACTGTTACTCCACGCGTCAAGTTTTGAGGTCGTTCTTACAGCGCTGCCGTAGTTTCTGCTGCTTCATAGACTCCATGCTACTTGTCTCCATCTTTTGCTACAATTTTCCAGCGGTTATTCTCGTTTTGTCTCCGATCTAATGCAATACCTTGTAAGCCTCTGATACAACAATGTACAGAATGAGTAAGAAGCGCCCACGCGCTAGCCTAGAGAAGGATCTCCTCCTGCTTGTGTAATTTCAAGCTAGAGAAATGTTATTTTTCCGATTCATGGATCACGTATTTCATGCTATCTCTCTGATGCTGATAGTCTCCTTTTTCTTTTCTCCGGTTTTTCCTTGATGTGCCTTCCGTGAGCGATGCTTTCATATTAGTACAGGGAAAATCGAAAAGTGATGAGTTAGAGGGTCTGCCTTTGAATGTCATAAAAATATTGATGTATTGACCAGACAGGTTTCAAGGTCGAGATTATGGAGTTATTTGTCTGCGGACTCTTGTTCTGACTCTGCAACTCTTACGCAGCTCAAAAATCGGATTGCAAAAGATGTCTTTAAGTAGTAGTAGTTTAGATTATCCAAAAAGATGGCAAAAACACAACTTCTGTAGCATCCTCTCGAAATTTGGTACAGAAGGGTTTTTGATGTCGCTGATTTTAAATCCGCTGTCAAAAAACAGAAATTCAGTGTAGCGTATCCAATATGGCATCGGCCGTCCATCGAGCGCCAAGAACCCAAAGAGACACACGTTTCATGACATTGCCTCCAATGCCTTTTTGATAAAATTGAGCGTTTTGGTTGAGAAATCAGTAAATTTCTGATTTTCTGATGAGGCTGTGAGATTTTTTATATCATTCTTAACAGATATGAAACTATTTCTCTCGTGTAATGGATTTAAGTAGAAAGCCTATCGAGCTATATCTGGAGTTCCACAGGGATCAACCTTGGGACCGTTGCTTTTTTCCAATTTTTATAAATGATTTATTGGATACTTTAACAGTAGAAAATGTTGGCTTCGCTGATGATCTAAAATATATCGCACAATATCTAACGTCACTGATTGTTTGGAACTTCAGAACCAGCTTGATCTGATTCAAAACTAGTGTAACAATAATAAATTAACACTAAGTTCAAGGTGGAGAATGTTACGAGGAAGAAAGGATTTATAAATTTTGGATGTAATATTGATGGAAAGAACTTAATTAGATGTACAGAGGATGGGGATCAAGGTGTTATTTTGAATTGCAAGTTATCTTTTTCTAAGCACATTGAGACAATTGTAGCTGAAGCATTAAGGATAGGGAATTTGTAGGAGTTTTGAGTACTATTAAAATACTATACTCAAATTAGATCGAAACTTGAGTATGTCAGCATTATGTAGAATCCATATTGAGGTGTACAACAATTGCGTTGGATGAGTTCGTCGAATATTTCTTAAATTTCTTTTATTTAAAGTTGAGGGCATTTATGAAGAAAGGGGAATCAATAATTATGAATTATGTAATAGATTTCAAATGCATAGTTTAGATCATAGAAGAACTTTTACAGCGGCATATTTTTATTCAAATTGCCGCATGGATATCTTGATAGTTCTGATGTTCTGGGGCAGGTTGGTCATGGTGTGCCTCCATATTCATCTCGGCGTAATGCGGCATTTAAGCTACCTAGAGCTAAGACTATGTTATAAAAGTCTCCAGTCTATGTCATGTATAATAAATTAAACTGTACCTCCAGCCATTGTGGTATATTTTTCTGTTCACTGAATGTGTTTATCAGAATAGCAAAGCGGTTATGGAATTAGTTTTAAATTCTTGATTTTGGGCTTATCGGCATATATGTTTAGGATATTATTTTTATAATATATTTCAGTTTTTACAGTTTTATTGCCTTATTAACGCGTAATAGAACCGTTGGATAATAAAGCCATTATTATTATTGTTATTACTATTGAAACAGATCCCCCAAGAACTTCCATTAAAAGTAACTTATTTTCTCTTTACTACCCACTGGTCCTGTACTACTAAACGATAGGAAGCCATATCGCTAACGATCGACATTAAGGTAGATGTCCGTCCACAATTTACCGCAAAATACCCAAACAGACGAGAGTTTGATTGCCAACCGAGAATTCATACCAACGCCAACGTGGTAACGTCGTTTACCCGCTTTCTTTCCTGGAACCGACCACCACGTTGGCGGTCGATTAGAAATAGACGCGACTTTTGAACTTTCATCCCTCGAGCTCGAGAGGCGTAACGTCATTACCTGATACTCCCTTGGTCCCGATTCGCTGACGATTAGGCGCACCTGAGAATTCGTAGGAAAAGATACTATCATATACAGGGTGTACTTTTTTCGGACCATATGAAAAAACAAAGTTGATGACGATTTCTCAAAAACGAAAATTTAAAAAGAACATCATGTGCCTAAGAAGTGAAAATGAAAAAGTTTCATTAGTTTTTTAATATTTCTTAATAATAAAGACAGAAGTCAATGAGGGAGATGTATAAAAGTAACTCCTGAGGTTTTACTGTGGCTCGAAAAAACTGTGAAAGTACCTATACCTTTTTTAATATTTGGAAACGACGTATTTCAAATTGAACATGGCATTTAATCGCCTTATTGCGGTACATTCAAATATAAAATCCATTTTTAATTTAGATATTGTATTCCAATATATTGATATGGATATTTATATTCCATTTTACGTCTACTAATATTTAATAATGCTATTACCGCTTTCAAAAGATAAGTGAATATTCATCGATTTATTCCAATTATTTATTTAATATTTTATTGATAGATTAATTTTGCAGCTAAATGCATATACATTCTTTAACAGTGTTAATGAGTTCTCTGTATTTCGTAGCCATGTTTGTTTCTGCTTCTGATAGCTGCTAATAAGCTGAAATAAAAAATATAATACTTAAAACATGAACAGAAGCTCGTTTTACACATCAGCTGCTACTAAATATGTCTTTGAGTTTGAAAGGTGAAGAACGGTAAAACGTAGAAAAAAATGTTCTGTGGCATGGAAGGGAAAAAGTATCTCTATATCTAATATTAATTTCATACATATTTCCTCTACGTACAGACTTAGTACGAGCTGGTTATCATGCATTTTTTAAATTTTCATCCATTTGAGGGCATTAATGGCCTTCTATATTTGAGATGATTCATATGTATTCATAATACTTTGAATATTATTTCTTGTTCTAATCTCTTAATAAGGATTAAACCACTAAGCAATATGATATATTCACACAATTACTTTCTCGTAGATTGATGCAATATAGCCTCATTTGCAGAAAAAAACTCTGAGTATTCAACAAATTTTAAGTCGTCGTCCATTATAATACCTAGATTCTTGGAATGATCCATATGTACTACATATTTTATTACCTTTTTTATTTATGTTTACTTGATTTTTTAAGGCACTCCTTTTTGTTTTATTTGCGTATATCAACATAATTATCTTTTAAGGGTTCAAACAAAGATTATAACTCTTCAAATTGGGCAAGATTTCGATTGATTGTATTATGTAAGTCATTACTACTAAATGAATAAAAAATCTGGGTATCGTCGACAAAAAAATTTATGTTTCTAAATCTGGGATATATACGTATAATGAAAATAACAGGGGTCCTAACACAGATCCCTGTAGTATACCAGAAAACAAACTTTTTGAAACATAATGTGACATAATCTAAAAAAAAAGAACAGTAGTTGTTGTGCATGTTTTGATCGAATATCAGCAGTTGATCAGAATAAGTAAAGCTATAATGTATACAAGACGAGATATTTACCTCTTATGCAGGTCCAAGTCCATAATCAAAATTCGGATTTTGCGGATTATCTTCGGGAAGAAACCCTATATCGGGCCCGGGTATATCATCATTATAATATTCCGGCGAGTCCGATACACCATCTTGACACGTTACCACGTACACAATAATCAGCATGTGGAGCAGAAAAAATGGATTGAAGAACTTCATGCTGTCTTCCGGAATGGCAATGAATGTCTGGCCAGATTGAAAATACAAAGTGTTGATAACTATAGAAACCGATAGGTGGATGATTCAGAATACGTTATCAAACGAGACTAAACAATAACGATATACTGGCGCACAATGAAACGCGAACTGGAATTTAAAGCCATATTTCAATTTTAGATACGACGAGCATTTTAAAGTCTATAATTCTTTGACTTAACCTGATATTTGTTTCTAAGTCATTTGGGACAATCAGCCAGGAGATACTTCAACTTTCTAAAACCCCTCCCACCCTTCAATTGACACCAATAGGCTGCGGACAGACCTTTTCTGAACAGAATCGATCATCGAGAATCTAGTCGAGGCAGCAGTACCCCGAACATGTGAACAGCACTCGAAGGAGGTCGTTGATATGTAGAGGAACGAAATCGGATGCCAGACCGATCCCTGCGGAACACCCGCGTTGACTTTGTGGAATGAAGAGGAGAACCTGTCGTCTACGACGGATTCCTTTCAAAGCTTCTCTGGAAGGCCACAGAATGGATATTTTCATGGATGAGATTGGATGCGTTTGCTCCACAATTCCGTGACGTATGTTATTGAAAAAATTCAGTGTGAATCAGTATAGCACGCGTCACGTAGGTGAATTGTTGCACGTGTATGCGGCTACATGACTAATTGAATAATTGTAGCAAACGGCAATTTATAATCGCATTTAGCTCTATTTCACTCTTGTCACCTACCGGCAATAATTCAGTTACCTTCTGTTAATCTGTTTATAGGTATCGAATAATTCGATACGTTCGCATAACTATACCATACATCGGCTATCCCATAGCAATATGTGGGTAGTTTTGATATTAAATAGATTTGAAGTATGTACCTTTAGTTTTTAAGAATTTTTAGCTTAATCACCACCCCGCACAAGAACATTATCTTTTTGTGATTCTTCTTTTTGAATTTATTCACTGAAATTCTATAAATATCGTGAATAAATTATTATCATTGGCAGAGTATGCGGAAGGTAAAATAACGCGCAAATTTGTGGCATTTAAGGATTCTAGGCGGTCTCACTATCCCAAAAATCACATGTCTACTCCACTAATCAGATTTATTCATAATAATTGTGTTTTAACCCGTTGGTTTGGATCTAGTTTTAATCACTATCTTCATTAAAATCTTCATAAACCGGAGATACGAAATCGCCTGCTTAGGTAAATAACAAAATTCCCCTTAGACTGTTTCGAAATTCAAAGTACTTTCGTAGAGAGAAGGAAAAAACTGATTTTTCCTAAAATAGTTTTAATGTTTTCCTGACTTTATTTGTAGTGGGATTTCAAAATTAATTGCAAGTCAAAGTTGCCACTTTTTCTTCTCTACAACATGGTGTAACTAGAATTCCAATAAAGTCAGAAAAAAATAAAAACGATTCTGCTATAAATCTGGTACACGACACAAATGACTGTCTGATAATTTCAAGCCTACCCAAGAAATCATGTTTTTTCAAATAACTAATGGCAACCAACTACTGTCTCGGTTCGGGTCTAAGGGCCTTCGTCGGTTGGAATTTCTTCCTAACGTTTCGCTAGCACGAGTGGCAAGCTTCTTCAGAGGTCCTTCCACTTCCGATATTTTTTTTTTTTGTGAGGGGGGAATGCGTTCACGCACCATACCATAGCCCGAGCTACGGCGTTTGTGGGACTCCAGGTTGTCTTGAGGAGACCACCTAATACCCACTAAACCCTAACCTCCGCGTGGCCCGACTCATCAGCGTCTCGGTAGGCCATGTGTTGTGCGTGACCTGCGGTCTGCTACAACGTCTCCTCATGTGTTTCAGTCTCTGGGAACGCCGGGTTGGTTCCCTTTACCTCGCACATTCTATCGATGTCGTTAAGCGATCATCGATAGAGGGTCTGATAGGTTCTCTTGAAACTCTTGTTTTCGAAAAATCAAGAGTTTCAAGTCCTCTTACCAATTGTTCCTGGTCCTGGTCCTGAAGGGTCCTGGTCCTGGTGGGTCCTGGTCGTGGCGGGTCCTGGTCCTGGTGGGTCCTGGTCCCGGTGGCTCCTGGTCCCGGTGGTTCCTGGTCCTCTGCATCCACGCCGTGGGGGAGGGGAGCAACCGCGGGTTTCTCCTAGTCTCCTAGTCAAGGTTCCAGTTAGCGGGTGCCAACTGAGACCATGGTCTAGGGTACCTGGTTCTGCGGTTGCGAGGCCTCTCGTCCGGATCGTAGTCCATGAGGAATCTTAGCTGCTCGTTCGGGTGGTCCTGAGCTTTCTGGAAGGTCTTCTTCGCGTTTTTCCTCATGTACTCGTGAATGGTGTCCCAGTGCAGGTCTCTACGCAAGGTTGAGTTTCTTACGTAGTATGGTGCACTGGTGGCGATCCGGAGTAGCTTCATCTCTAGAGCAGCAAGTCGCTTGCGGTAGCTGGGGGCAGCGTACCCCCAGACCGCGGAGGCGTAAGCGAGCTGAGGTCTGGCGATGGCCTTGATCAGCCGTAGCTTGGTCGTTAGCGGCATCCGGCTGTGTCTACCCAGTAATGGGTAGAGTTGAGCCATGGCTGCTCTGGTCTTTGCGATGACAGCTTCTATGTGGTCTTTCCAGGTGAGGGACTTGTCAAATACGATCCCCAGATATTTGACTTTGTCGCTCCACTGGATATCTTCGTCGAAGATGGATGCTTCGAGAGCTCTTGCAATCCTTCTTCGTTGGATGAAGATTGCCTGCGTCTTCTGGACGTTAATGCGGATTTTCCATTTCACGCACCAGTCCTGGATGTGGTCCAGTTCATCCTGTAGTCTCCTACGGATGATCTCGGGTCGTCGATGCTTGGCGGCTATAGCAGTGTCGTCTGCATATAGGGCCAGCATTGTGTCAGCTGTCTTCGGTACATCGTGAGTATAGATGTTGTAGAGCAGGGGGGCTAAGGCTGACCCCTGGGGCATGCCTGCTTCCAGCTGTCGTCTTGTTGAATGGCATGTACCAATCTTCACCGTCTAAGGATATCTCTTGCGCAGGTTGTATTTATACCGGAGGGTAGGTAAGTGGCTTGTTCCGCTTCGGTTGACTTCGGGATGTCGATCGGCACTGCTCGGGCATTTCTGAGGATCGGGTGCCAGATCGGGTTGAGTCTGAGGGTCTCTTCCTTCCTGTTGAAGTCATCTGGATGTTTGTGAATCTCTCTAGCTTCCCTGACCAGCCTATTGTGATAGCCGTTGACTGATGACAGCAGCTTGCAGCTCCCGAAGTGTATCCTGTGGTCCCCATTGCTTAGTGCATGTTCAGCAACCGCAGACTTCTCAGTTTGTCCTAGCCGGCAATTTGCTTTGTGCTCCTTGAGTCTCGTTCCCATTGATCTTTTCGTGGTTCCAATGTTTACTTTACCGCATGAACACGGTATGCGATAGACTCCTGCAGCTGAGAGTTGGTCCTTCTTGTCCTTTGCCGATCTGATGGTTTGTTGGATCTTCTTCGTAGGCTTGAAGATTGTTTTAATGTCATGTCTCTTCAGGACTTTGCCAATCCTGTCCGTGTCTCTTGGCACAAATGGAAGATACGCTTGAGAGGTTCTGGGACGCTGTTCGGTTTCACGTGGCCTGGCTGATCTCGATCCCATTGATCGTTCGATGTCCCTCTTGCTGTAGCCATTTGCGTCGAACGCAGTTTTCAGGTGTTCAAGTTCTGTCTGGAGGTTTTCCGGTTCACAAATCTTTCGAGCTCGTTCTGTCAGGGTTCTGATGACTCCATACTTCTGACTTGGGTGATGATTGGACAAAGCGTGCAGGTATCTGTCTGTGTGCGTTGGTTTCCTGTACACTGTGTGACCCAGCTTGTTACCTCGCTTCCTGACTAGTACGTCCAAGGAGGCCAGTTGCTGGTCACTCCCTATATCCATGGCAAATTGTATGCTTGGATGCCGATCGTTGAGGTACTGCAGAAACTCGTTTAGCCTGTCCGTGCCATGTTTCCATATCACGAAGCTGTCGTCCACGTACCGGAACCAAATTGCTGGTTTGTTCTCCGATGTCTCAACCGCCTGCTTCTCAAAGTGTTCCATAAAAAGGTTGGCTATGACTGGGCTAAGTGGACTTCCCATTGCCACTCCGTCTGTAGGTCATAAAAACCCCCGTCCCATACCAAGTAGCTTCCAGTGAGACAGATTTCAAAGAGCTTGCAGATGTCAGAAGGGAAGATCCTGCTCACCAGATCCAGGCATTCCCTCAGCGGAACCTTGGTGAAAAGAGAGACGACATCGAAGCTCACAAGGATGTCGTCGGGTTCAACTACGATGTCCTGAATCTTGGGCACAAAGTCGGTGGAATCCTTGATGTAGCTGGCACTCTTTCCCACGTATGGTTGCAGCAAGAATGCCAAGTGTTTCGCTAAATAGCGATCCGGAGCACTGACTATTGGTCTCAACGGAACATCTGCCTTGTGGATTTTGGGCAGCCCGTAGAGCCTTGATGGGACCGCTTCCATCCTCGTAACTTTCTTCTTGGTGTCTTCTGGCAGTGATGATAGCTTGATGAGCCGGTTGGTAAGGCGTAGTCGGGCTTGCGTTGGATCCTTCTTCAGGGGTTTGTAACTTTCCGGTTCTAGAAGTTCAATAATCTTAGTTTATCAACTGGCCGCGAAAGCCTTAACCAATTTGCCCAACAATATTTTTGTTCTACAATAACACTAGCACGCCACTGAGTGTCCATCGAATCCGGGCCGTATCGGACCTGAAAAGCGGACCGGTAGGAAGCTAATTATTCGCTCAATTGTAGAATTTCATGCTGTCTCCCGCATGTTCGACCTGCCTGCTCCGATCCGCGTACAACCCCAGGCGTACGTGTCTATGTATACGTGTGCGTGTGTATCCAGGTACAACGCCTTTTTGAGAAATGCTGATGTATGCGTTTCAGTAAAGAGGAAGTGAGTGAACGAGAGGGCTGCTGTGAATAGAGGTCTCCTGATTGATCAACGAAGGCGGTGATAAGTGGATCGATCGATAAACCTTCGGGATGTAGAGGGTTTCTCGGGAAGTGACATCGTGTGGAGTGCCGCCGTCAGGCCAAGGCACGCGGAATGTCATTATTAAAATTTGAATAAAATTCGTTCCAAGTGTGGCCTGATTCGATTTTTCACGTTTTACTTCCTACACCGCCAGAGTGGAAGCATTGTAAACGCGAAAAATTTATACAGTGAGATATGGTTTTTTGGATATGACATATAGATCACGAAAAAGTTATCACTCATTTTCGTCAGTCTGTCTATCTGTCTATCATCTAATCCTTGGCCAGTCTATACAGAGTGTTCCTTAGTAATATGCGAATATTTGAGGGTGTGAATCTACGTGAAAAATTAACGTGAGTTTGCTTTATAAACCATGGTCCAAAAATGAAAAATGCTTTCTTACAAAAACTCGTGGTAGTTTTTCAGTTATTTCTCATATATACCACATTTAGGCCCAATTTCACCAACATTAATATTATGGACCAATGGGAAAATACCTTATCGAAATGCAATTTGACAGAAGCTGTCAAAGGTCTCTGAATATCAGTGCTTTCTATTAAAATATTGAATAAAATCGTGAAAATTCGACTGTATTATAAACAAGACCACATTTTGATTTCAACATGATGCTTTTGTACAGAGAAAACAGGACAACTTTCATGTATTTTGATTTCCGTTATAAATTTATATTTAACTATCAGTTATCCCCAAAGCCAATGGGAATGCGGCAAATAATAGGTCGATTTTCAAGCTGTTAAATTTGGCAGCAGATTTTGACGTTTGTTAATGCATGGCAATCTCGAATTTGCTAACGTCAATATACTGTGAGTTGCATAGCTGTGTGGATTTGTCTGTATTTTGCAAGAAAATAGAATATAAAATACATTCCATCCAATTCCTCATCTTCCTTTATATCATAATAATTATTAATTTAAGGGTTAATGAATTTCTTCAAAGCAATAAAAACATTGTCTTTCCCATCCTAAAACACAGATAATATGTGTAAGACGTGTCAATCCCTACATCTCCCTGATGCATAATGCAATTACTATGGACATAGACAAAAAAATATGAAAAATGTTGCACAAATAATGTCTTTTAAGTCCAATAATAATAAAAACTAGTAATATTTATTGTTTGATTGTCTTTTTGACTGGCGGGGATATCTATCTGTCATTCGCAGTGTTGCCAAGTCTAACGACGATCACGTCCCGTGGAGGGTGCGAAATGAATCTTTTACATTTGCTGGTTTTGAATTTTTTTCCTGAAAATTTACTAGGTATCATGATTATAAGCATCTTTGGTAGATTGTTCGATCCGGAAGGGGAAAGATCTCCCATTTATGAAAATATTTTTGGTATCATCTAACCGTTGCAATCAGTGCACAAAAACTGTGACATATGATTTATAGCATAACCCGCTGCCCTATCAATACAAATTTAACATAGAGGTCGCCTAGCCGTGGGGATGCAGTGGTCGGGATGAATATCACGGCAGCAACTGATGATTTGGGCATGTCTGGTAACAACGTATGAAGTGAGACTCGCTAACTTCACAAATTTGGAGATTTTGTACAATTTCTTTGAAAATGATGAAAGATATGTCTGATTTGGCAGGGTAATGTCGCAGCCAAATGGCAGTCAATCTTTCTGACGCATTCCGGATCGAAAGATGACGATACTCGTGAAATATATTGATACTTCTGAATATAGGATCGTATCGAACATCCCTACTGTCAAGATGTATAACCGGAGGTACCGACGGAGCTATTTTGTGGCGTCATGGAAATAATTTAAAATTTGCATTTTTTCAAGTTTTGTGCAACGATTTTGGGAAAAACTTCACGAATAGTCTTACAAAGCATAGTAGAGTATATTTCAACAGTTGGCGGAGCTTACTCCACTGGGACCAGTGGGGTGAAACGGGGTATTAATGCACAGTCTGGCAACCATGTCGCACCCTCACAAAATGGCCGCTGACAACCACACAAGTCACCGT